TATACATACATACATACCTGTATATGTATATATTCGGGAGAATCAAGTGGTAGTGTATCCCCGGCATGCCTGATCCGTCACAGATTGCTTACTTCGGCATCGCTTATTCCGCACACAGTTGGTAGAGGCACAGGACACGGCTAAGGCACACGAACAGATGCGCAACGATGAACAAAGTTCGGTACTTGACGAAAGTCTCAAGTCAATCGAAACATTAAAAGCCGAGATCACGGCACTGAAGGGTGTGTTGTTGTTGTGTGTGCACATCTGTGAGTCTGATTGGGTGTGTAGTTGACGTGCAAGTGTGGTGTGTGTGCTTTGGTATGTCTGGTGTTTATGATTAAAGGTCAGGTGTAAGTTAGAGATGTCTGTTGTTTACGATTAAAGGTCAGGTGTAAGTTAGAGATGTCTGTTGTTTATGATTAAAGGTCAGGTGTATGTTAGAGATGTCTGTTGTTTATGATTAAAGGTCAGGTGTAAGTTAGAGATGTCTGTTGTTTGTGATTAAAGGTCAGGTGGAAGTTAGAGATGTTTGTTGTTTATGCTAGACGCCATGTCGACTGTTGTATCGGCTCAATGTCTTTCCATTTATGATTATAGGTCAGGTGTACGTTAGAAAAGTCTTTCCATGCACATGACTCGTAACGGTCCATTGCTGAGCGCTTGGGCTCTCTTTTTGTAGTGCGTGTTTCACACTGTCATCGGCTGTGCTTCAGTTCGCACGCACTGTCATTTGTTCTCGTTTGATTCGCTCACAGTGTGATTTTCTGTGTTTTGATTCGCTCACACTGTGATTTTCTGTGTTTTCATTCGCTCACACTGTCGTTTGCTGTGTTTTGGTTCGTTTGCGCAAACAGATACTCTGACCAGTCGGGACTCCGAGATCCAAAGTTTGTACCAAGAAAAAGCCGAACTCGACAAAAAAACTTCGCTTTTGAGTCTGAATCTGGAAGAAATGAAACAACAGGTACGATATCAGGCTCTGTTTTTCTGGTGTATAGTGGGATGTGTGAGTAAGGTTAGTGTATGTGTATCTTGGGGTGAAGGCAGGGGGTAGTGTATGTGCATCATGCTCTGTTGTACTAGTGTATTGCAGGATGTGTGTGTAAGGTTAGTGTATGTGTATCTTAGGGTGAAGGCAGGTATAAGACCGGTTTCTGTGAATAAGAACATTTGAACCCACTTGTGCGGGTTGGGTGGTTGAGATATCGATAGAACTCGATCGAACAGAAACAGAAGAACTCGATCGAACAGAAACAGAGAAGAAACAGCTGGTATGAGTGCGCATGAGCAGTCGTATGAATCTGTGCATATTCGCGCGAGTGTAATAGGGATAGGTAAAACATGGAGATCGACAATTGTCCTATATTGTTCAGAAT